TGGAAGGAAGGCTATGGCAAACCTAGACAACGTATTAAAAAGCAAAGGCATCACTTTGCCAACAAAGGTCTGTACAGTCAAAGCTATGATTTTTCCAGTGTCATTTACAGCTGTGAGATTTGGATCATTAAGAAGGTTGAATGCCAAAGAATTGATTCTTTTGAACTGTGGTGCTGGAGAAGACTCTTGAGAGTCCCTTGTACTGCAAGAAGATAAAACTAGTCAATCCTAAAGGAAGTCAGCCCTGAAAACTCACTGGAAGAACTGATGCTGAAGCTCTAATCCTTTGGCCACCTGGTGCCAAGAGCCACCTCATTGGCAAAGACCCTGATGCTGGGAAGGATTGAAGGCAAAAGGAGAAGGGGATGACAGAGGTTGAGATGGTTGGATGGTATCACCAATTTAATGGACATGAATTTGGGAGAACTCTAGGACATGGTGAAGGACAGGGAAGCCTGGTGTGCTGCAGTCCATGGGGTCAGACACGATTTAGTGACTGAACAACAACAAGAAGAATCTTATATAAATAATTTATACATAGGGTGTGATCTTTTGTTTCTGGCTTCTTTCATTTATGTAAATGTACTACAGTTCACCCATGCTGTTGCATGTTATCAGTAGTTTGTTGTTTGTTTCAGTCAGCGACTTGTATTCTGCTGTATAGATAGATATGTATTAGCTTGTTCATACATTCACAACTTGACAGATGATTGGGTGGTTTCCATTTGGGGCCTGTTTAATTTTATAAGAAAATTCCGAACTGCTCCCCAAGGCGACTGCACCATCTGCATTCCAATGTGTGCAAGTTCCAGGAGCTCTGCATCCCAGCCTGCCCTTGGATCGTCAGCATTTTGTGTGTTGGATCATTGATGGATTCTCTAATACGGGGTATCTCCTTGTGGTTTAAATTTGCCTTTTTCTAGTGGCAGTGTGGATCATCTTCACATGCTTCTCACCATCCTGTGTCTGCTTGGGTTGAAGTGTTTGATTAAATCTCTTGCGTTTTCTGTTAAGTTTGGTATTTTTATTATAAATATTTTCTCCAAACCTGTGCTTGTGATTTCATTGTTTTAATAATGCAGAGGTTTTGAGTTTTGAGTTTTGATGTAGTCCAACTTATCAACTTTAATACTTTATAATTTATTCTCTTGTATTCTACTCATGATATCTTTGCCCATGATTGAGTCAGATGCACAGAATACACATGTCTGAAATACTGAGTCTTTCGACCTGTTTTATTCTTTATTTAACTCACCTTTACTTTTTATAGCAATGTTGGATAGTTCCCAGTGTGCAGTTTTTACACATTTTTGTTAATGTATCCTTAAATATTTCACTGTTTGGATATTATTGTCAATAACATTAAAACAGATTTATTCTTGTTGTTCATTGCTAATCTATAGAATTACAAGTCATTTTGAAGTATTAATCTTCTACCCTGTGACCTTGTAAAATTATTTATTCATTTGAGAATGGTTTTAAAGGAATTCTTAGCAATTATTTTTGTTGAAAGTCACCTGTGATTAAATAAAGTTGTGCTTTTCCTTCCCAGTCTGGTTACCTTATATTTATTTTATTTTCTCTTAGCTCAGGTTAATACCTACAGTAAAATGAGTAGAAGGGCTTGAGAGCAGATTTTCTAGACTTGTTCTTGACCATATGGGGAAATAATTCCATCATGACAGTAAATATGATGTTAGCTGTTGGTTTTCCATAGATGTCCTTTATCATATTAATGAAGTTCCATTTTGTTTAGTTTGTTGTTTATATTTATTGTTAATTAATGTTAAATTTTGTCAAGGGTTTTTTATGCATCTGCTGAGCTGATCATATGATGTTTATCTTTTATTTTGTCAATATTGTGAATTACATTGATTCTTGATTGATGAACCAACCTTGCATTTTTGTGATTAATTCCAGTTGGTCATGATGTATTGTCCCTTTTACATACTGATGGATTTGATTTGCAAATATTTTGTGAAGATATTTGCAGATACGCTCATGAGGAATATTGATTTATCATTTTCTTGTCTTTTCTTATTATTATTTGGTTTTATGTCAAAATACTACTGGATTCATAAGATGGGTTGATATATAATCCCGTTTACACACATTTTTTAAAGGGTTTGCATAGAATTGGAATTCAGTTCAGTTCAGTTACTCAGTTGTGTCCTACTCTTTGCGACCCCATGAACCACATTATTCCTTCTCAGTTTTCATGGCACTCACTAGTAAATCGTCTGAGCTTGGAGTATTCTTTGTGGGAAGTTTTTAATTGCAAAACAAATTTCTTTAGTGGATATGTAGCTAGTCATATTTTCTATTTCTTCTTATATCATTTTGTTAAATAACTTACATTTTCAAGGAATTTGTCCACTTCACCTAAAGTCTTGAATATATGGGCATGAAGTTTTCATAATATTTCTTTGTACTTGTTCTGTAGTATATCTTAAGTAGTAATATTATTGTAGTTTGCTACAAGTGACTGACCTCTTGGACAAGAAGAAGGGATGAATAAACTCTTATGCAGACTTAAAAGAAATTACCAGTAAAAAGTCAATTAGAAATGTTCATTTCTGAAAATTTTTAGGTAAATCAGTTAAATAAACAGAATAGAGACTAAAGTGGGGAAAGGGTGGGGGACTGAGTGGGATTGCAGAGAGGAAGGAGGGCACTGCACAGATTAGCAGGGAGGCTCCAGGAAGAAAGAACCCCTCCAGAGCTCTCGGGAGCGGCTGCAGTGTTTGAAGAAGGGTAAGAGGGGATGACTGCATTGTGCCAGGTCACTGGGGCTCGTCCCTAAATGGGGATGTCACGTCATCAGAGTCTGCATCTCCTTTGAATGCAGCTCCAACAGAATTTGCCCACAAAGTCTGCAAGTGTGATGGAAAGAAGACAGGACTGGGACAAAGTGGACTCTGGGAGAAGGCGAGGGTGGGATGTTTCAAGAGAACAGCATTGAAACATGTATATTATCTAGGGTGAAACAGATCACCAGATCATGGGTGCATGAGACAAGTGCTCGGGCCTGGTGCACTGGGAAGACCCAGAGGGATCGGGTGGAGAGGGAGGTGGGAGGGGGGACCGGGATGGGGAATACATGTAAATCCATGGCTAATTCATTTCAATGTATGACAAAAACCACTGCAATGATGTAAAGTAATTAGCCTCCAACTAATAAAAATAAATGGAAAAAAAAAAAAGAAAAAAAAGAAAGAGTACAGTACAGTCTCTGTCACTAACTGGCTGTGTGGCCATGGCTGGATCACATAGCTTCTCTGTGACAGAACTGAAATTGAACTTCGGAGTGACTCTCAGTATCTTTGCGTATTAGATAGTGATAACAGCAAGCCGTGTATGGTGCTACCTAGGTGCCGAATGTGGTTCTCAGTTACACATTTGTTACCTGATTTATTCCGTACTGTGAGTTTTTGAGGCATATCATATTTTTCTAATTTAGAGGCAACAACACAGGAACATAAAGGTGAAGTAATTTGTCTGAGGTTATATAAGTAGGACACAATTGAGCCAGGATTTGAATTCTGCCTTGTAATGTTGTGTGAACAGGTAATAAAGGGCATAGAGAGGCTCTAGGATTTAATGAAAACATGTTTACATGTTTACATACACGGTAGTTTCTCAAGCTGTAATTTAACAGTACTAGATGTGTTGCTCTGATGGTGGTAAGAACAGAAGGAGCAGGTGATAAAGGGACCACATGCATGTCTGATGGACCTACACCAAAATGTGTTTCTTTCCGTCTCTGAAGGTGTTACAAGTATGTGACTAATTCTATATTGACATAACTTTTTTTGTCTCAGAAAATCAATATACTATTTTTCTAGGCTGTAGTTTGACAAGGACCTGTGACCTGAGAATCAGATAACTTAAAATCAATCCTAGCTTCCCGCTGGCTAAGCGTGTTGTACATAGCCACGCAGAACATCTCAGGTCCTCTGTGCGTTTTCAGAAGGCACTACAAGACCTTTCAGAAGGTCTCAGTACTACCTTCTCAGTGTACAGAGCACACACAGAGTGAAGGTCTGCAAGCACTCAGGCATCTGCTCACATGTCATCTAAATACTAAACAGCACAGGTCTCCTGTGTTGTGCAGTTCTCCAAGAAACCCCATTTGATATGCCTCCAAGGATACAGATACAATTTTATGGTGTGAACATATTAGTATCTTTTGTCTTCTTATTTTCTCGATCTGTTACAGAGTTTCCCCAAGAGTTAAAGCATAGATCACTGCTTAGTTCAGCTTTATTGGTTTTCTTGAGCCACAGCACGCCCAAGAAGCGGGCAGGATGGTGCAGCACCCAGCTGTACCCCAGCCCTCAGAGCTCTGTGCCCACTGGATTATGTTATCTGATTCTCCAGCTCCCCACACTCTGGAAGAACAGCACGGGATGTGATATGCCTGATTGTTTAAGGGGAACTGGTGTAAGGGGAGTGGCAAAAGAAGTGGAGCATTGGGAAAAACTGATCAGAAAAGAAAAAGAGGAACATAGTTTAAATACCCTGTCAGTGAAATGAAACAAAGCAGGCATTCCCAAGCCAGAGCCGCCAGTGTAGGTAGACTAGGGAGGGATTCTGAAAACAGCACGTTCCCCTCTATCATGATGTGTGTAGCCTCACTCACTGCCTCCACTGCTCCTTTTGGGGGCAGATGGAGAGAAGGGCGGCCCTGAACCTTTTCCTGTGGAATTTTATCCAAGTTCTCAGCACATACCTCCCCAGTTAGTGCTTGAAACTGGGACAAGAAAATTTTGGACTTTCCTGTGGAACAAAGACGACAAAGGCTTTTATCTAGGAGGTAAATTATTAATCATTGTGATATATCTCCCTTGACATCAAGGAAGCCAGAAAAATCAATTTATCTTGATCACGTGGCGGCCTGTCTCTGTGATGTAGGTCAGTCTTGGACTGGACACTCTGAAACCACCAACAGGATGAAACACATGAGCGTACTGCAGAAGGAGAAGTTCTCCTGTGCCTGCAGAGTAAGGGGAAGAAGGGCGGTGGGCGAGGCAGGGGGGGTTGGCGGAGAGCACAGTGCTCCCTGATGAACTGTGGCATCATACCTGCAGTTGCGGGTGTGGAATGAAGTGATGAGAGCCCCCCGGGAGGCACTGAATGCACAGCTTCTGCCTGTGGCCCCGCTCCAGTCGGGAAGAAGGCAGTAGCTAGTGAGGAGACGAGGCACCGTGGGTCTAGCTCAGTTTTGCCAGTTGCAGTTGGTAAAAATTAAGACTTCCCCCAAGAGGGAGCCCCAGAGTAGAAGCAGTGTATCCTCCAGATGTTTCTGACCAGGAGAGAGGAAAGGGGAAGAATGCTTGATCCATTTCCCTTTAAAAAAAAAATGCCAGTAGGCTAGTGAGGTTAAAAATAAACCTCTGCTGGATTTCCCCTTGTGCCTTGCTGCCCACTCATGTCAGTAAAAACCAGCCCTTGGAATGAAGAGCCTGTTCCCTTTGACAAATAAGCCTTGTGGCTAGCCCATGTGTTCAGAAATCAAGGTCAGGAGACAACACAGGACTCTTGGGGGCCTGCAGAGTGGGCGCCCTGGTCCCTGAGCCTGTCCTCGGTCCCTGAGTGTGTCCCTGCTGTTTGCACTCAGGGCTGCTCCCCGATGTGCATGTGCTCTGGAGAGCTTCCTACATGGAAGCCTCACGCTCGCTGAGGTGGGGCTGCTGCTGAAGCGTGTACTGTGCATGCTACAGACCACCGCAGGACACGTCCTCACCAGGCATCCTCTGAGCTGGCAGAGTGTCTAGGGCAGGGACGCTCCGACAGCAAATCTGGGTAGACGGGGATCCTAGTGGTCACTGGTGCTGAGCTCAGCAGTCATCCCGGGCCCACCCTGGGGGAGTCAGCACCTGGATTCAGATCACTGGTCACCACTTTGCAGTTCCCCCCCATAACAAGTGGGCCTGATGGATGTAAAGGTTGATATGTCATGTGGCCCCTCCCCGACTATATTGCAGTTGCTGCTGCTGGGGTCCAAGTCATCAGGACCCCGAGCTCAGTGGACATAAACTCAGTGCTAGCTTGAGCTCACAGGTTGTGCAAGTCGGGGGTTGACAAGGGCAGAAGCCTTCTCAGTGTGTGTCTGGGAGAGGTCGCCCATCCCAGGGCCAGAGTAGTCTCTTCTGAGAGGCTGCGGCTTTGCCCCTGGTCGCTTGGACCTCAGCTGAGCTCTTGGCAGTTGTTGTAGGCTGAGTTGTGTCAACCCCAAATTCATGTGTTGAAACTGTAAACCCTAGGACTTCAGAATGTGACCTTAGAGATAGAGTCATTAAGGAGGAGATTAAGTTAAAATGAGGTTGTGTGATTGGCCCCAGTCCAGCAGGACTGGTGTGTTTGTAAGAAGAGATGAGGACATAGATGCACATAGCTGTGCAGAAGACACAGGGAGAAGGCATGCCTTCAGTGCCATCCATAGCTGGTGATCCTCCCTATAAACCGCAAGCCTGGAACTCTCTCCTGAATCCAGACTCTTGTATCAAGTTGCATACTCACATTTCCACCTGGATCTTACATATCTCAAACCAGATATGATCAATACAAGGTCAGTCTTTCTCCTGAGATATTTGTTATCGCTGCATAACAGTATTACCACCAATTTAACAGCTAACACAGCACACATTTATTATCTCTGTGGGTCAGGACTCTGGGCCCAGATTAGCTGGGTTTTAATCCCGGTGTTAGAGCTGTGATCTCACCTGAGGCTCACCTAGGGGCATATCTGCTTCTCATCTTCTCTGGGGTTGGCAGCATTCAGTTCCTTCTGGAACTCTGGACTGAGGACCGCTGCTTCTTGTTGGCAATCAGCTGGTAGCTGCCCTCATGTTCCTGCCACATGGCAGCTCACAGCCCAGCGACTTATTTCTTCGAGGCCAACAAGAGGGAGTCTTCTAACAGGTCGAGTTCAGTTTCCTAGGCTTAATCACACACCTACAGTCACCCGTATTTGGCCGTACTCTGTTGGTTAGAAGGAACTTACACTGGAAGAAGGAGGATACAGGGTGTGAACAGTGGGAGGCAGCAGTCACAGGGCTGCCCCCAAGCTGGTCTTCATACCCAAAAACACCCTCCTCCCATAGTCTCCCACCTCAGATGAGGGAATCCTGACCTTTCAGTTGCTTGGTCAGAATTCCAAGTGTTCCCCACACTAAGGTCCCACATCAAGTCTGTCAGCAGATAGAGCTGATACTGCTTTAGGGTGGTGCCCAAAACGTGACTGTTCCCACCTGCTCTGGTCCCTTTGGTTCCAGCCCACCGTGTCCCCCCAGGTTTGCTGCTGGAAGATGGCCTCCTGACTGTTCCTTCCTCCTGCCCTTGCTTCTTTAGAAAGCTTCAGAGCAACAGGTAGATGAGTGTTATAAAATGTACATCAGGAGTGGATGAAGCCATTTCCTGTCCACACCCTCCAGTGACTTGCGTTGAGTCCAAGTCTTCACAGAAATTCAGAGCCTCCCCCTCCAGCTCTGCTCCTCCTCACAGTCCCCTGACTGTCCCCTCACAGTGGGCAGCTCACCTTCCTTCGGCCCAGAGCTTCCTGTCTCCTCCTGCTCTTTGCTCTGAGGCTTCCTCCTCCCAGGGATCTTTCTTAAGCGTCCTTTTAAAATGTCAGTGCCCATCTGACATACTCTGTCCCTCTTCCCTGCTTGTGTATGTACTAGAGAAAAAGTACAGTCTCATGTGCCACCAGGATGTGCAAGGCTGCCTCTCCTGGGTCTCTGGCCTCACCAACCCCACCCCTTGGCTTCTCAAGTGGCCTCAGGTATCCACCTGAAAAATTCCATTAGGATGCGTTCAGGTGTGACCTCAGACTCTCCAAGCCACATCAAGCTCCTCTCATGGGTATTGCCATGAGTTTCCTTTATTATAAAATGTCTTCTCAGCTGTACTGTTAGTTCATTGAGGAATGTAAATTAAATGAGTCACTCTTTGAAATGTGCTTAGACAGGGCCTGCTAGTGGAGGATGCGAATAATTATTTAAAAATTAAATGCAAACGACTGTGCATCTTTCATCTGTATACCCTGTTCAAGGACCCTCTTCCAGTCAGTGAGAAATTGTAAGGCAAAAGAAGCTGACAACATAGAGATGAAAATAACAGAAAGAGAAGTAATTGTGCAGCCACAAAAGGGTAATTTTTAGAACATGTTTCAGTATATACAGTTTCATTGCCTTCAATGCCCTCCTAACCCCCAGCCTCCCAGCCCCACCTCAGATTTTCTGAAGAAATATTCTCCAGAGCTCTTAAAAGAGCCTCTCTCCCTGGCTTAAGGGCCCAAGCCCCATTCAGACACTCTTACCCACAATGTGTACTGTGGGCTTATTTTGTAGAAAAAGCCTTCACTTCAGACAGACTTATACTGATAGCTTCTCAAGTGCTTAGGAACAATTAATTTTCCCAGGCAGGTGCAGTGATATACCTATAATCCTATTTGTTCATTTGCTGATCTGATTATTTTTGCAGTGCAGGCCTTGTTGGAATGATCACAGTGGAGTCTGAAGTAATAAGGTTTTTCAGTATCTTTAATTATGTGTAAAAGTGTCAAGATAATAATGCCCTCATTTAGGGTAGGACAAAGAGAATTAATTAAATGTGAAAAAGTGAGACACGGAGGTCACATGTAGAATAGGACTTCCTACCTGTGAATGTGGCTTCACACCCAGGCTTATGCTGGAGGTGGATCAGGATGCGTGCAAACCTTCGTAGATGAGTTCTGTTTATATTCATCTGGCTTCACAGCCTGTGGTGTCCTGGAAGCCCCAGTTATGGAAGATCTCTCAAGGACCACGTGCACACCAAGGTGCTCCAGGTTCATGATTTCATTACAGTTATTTTCTGAGGAGAAGAACAGTGAGGTTGTTTAGAGAAAGGTATACAGCCAGGTTCATGTCTAAATGGAATGCCTGAAAATTAATATTCTAGGAATGATCCATTGCTTTTGTGCTAAATTTGCTATTTTTTTAAAAAATGAACCCAAATTAGACTTTCTTTCACATCTAAAAATGCTTTCCAGTGTCGGCTCATCCTTTCTCTCCATTCTTTTGATGAATTTCTGTGACTGTACCAATCATTAAGAAAACCTTGCTTTTTAAAGAAACAAGGCATCCTTAGCTCTTGAGCAACTTTGCCAGGCACGGGAGGGAAGGGTGTTGTTTCTTTGGCAGCAACTCCTATCTGCCTGGCCTCTGCCCCCTCAAATGGAAAATGGGTTAATTAGTTAATTAGAGGCCTGGTGTTCCCCTCATGGAAGCTGTTACACCCGTCTAGTATGTCTTAGGAAGCCACACCAGTTTTCACGCCTGCAAGACACTTTGTGAATATTTATACCAGGTTAGCAGCCTGTCTTCTGTAGCAGCTGGACCAGGCTCCTCCTTTCAAACTCTGCTGTTATGGAACCACCCAGCCACATCCAGCTACATGCCCAGGGATATACTAATGCACCATACACTGTGAGATCACATCCTCAACCTGTCCTTTGTGTATTTCTCTGACTGTAGGACTTCTCTCAGTACATGGAGCTGTTATAAACCCTTCTGAAAAATCTGATCCCAATCCATATACCTAACCCCATGTGCTGTTACCAGATAGATACCAGAAAGATTTTTATTGGCAATATAGCCACAGTGAAATTATTGGATAGTGAAACAGGATAATTTTTTATGTGTAAATACAGTTGTGGGCTGTTTGAACCCAGGGATATGTGCCAAGTGTAGACATGTTTGCCAGGACCAACTATCAAAGGCCGTTTTTCAGGGACCGGTGTGCTCCAGGGCATTTTTGATAGGACCAGCTCTCCAAGACCTTCTGGTGTCTCCTAACCTGTGACTCTGCACTTTCTGACTCCAGTCCTAACCCTTCTCTACACACTTCTATTCAGTTGCCTATTTGGCAGATCCACTTAGATGTTTATCAGCATCTTAAACTTACCAGAATACTATCTTGTCACTCCATCTTCCCCATCTCAGAACACACATCAGTAAACACAGTTGCTGAAGCTAGAACGCTGGAAACAGCATGCTTCTAGAATCTCTCTCAAATCCCTCTTCCTCCCATCTTTCCTTCAGGTACAGCATCATCTCTGTCTGAACCCTCTCACATTGTTTCCTACAGGGTCTTCTTTATTTATTCTTTATTCTTCCTGCATACCTTTCTCCACACAGCTGCAGAGGTGAGCTACAAAAAAATTATAATCAGATAGTACCACCTTCTTCTCATATCCTTCCAGTGGCTTCTGCTTATTTGTACCTAAGTGGTCCTATATTATGGGGCACCCACCCTCTCCCACCTGTGTTCTTTTCCAGCACCCCTGCTCCCTTAGGGTCCACTCTCATCCTGTTCACACTGGACTTTTTGGTGTTTCTAAAACAGCTTAAGCTACTTCTTAGATTGTTGTTGTTCAGCCTCTAAGCTGTGTCTGACTCTTTGCGACCCCATGGACTGCAGCATGTTAGGCTTCCATTCTTCACTATCACCTGGAGCTTGCTCAAATACATGTCCACGGAGTTGGTGATACTATCCAACCATCTCATTCTGTGTCACCCCCGTCTCCTCTTGCCTTCAATCTTTGCCAGCATCAGGATCTTTCCCAGTGAGTCAGCTCTTTGCATCAGGTGGCCAAAGTATTGGAGCTTCAGCTTCAGTATCAGTCCTTCCAATGAATATTCAGGTTTGATTTCCTTTAGGATTAACTGGTTTGATCATCTTGCTGTCCAAGGGATTCTCAAGAATCTTCTCCAGCACCACAGTTTGAAAACATCAGTCGTCTAGCACTCAGCCTTCTTAATGGTCCAACACTCACATCCGAACACGACCACTGGAGAAACCCCAGCATTGACTATATGGACCTTTGTTGGCAAAGTGATATCTCTGCTTTTTAATGCATTGTCTAGGTTTGTTGTAGCTTTCCTTCCAAAGAGCAAGTGTCTTCTAACGTCATGGCTGCTGTCACCATCCACAGTGATTTTGGAGCGCAAGTAAAGAAAATCTGTCACTGTTTCCATTTTTCCCTCATCTGTTTGCCGTGAAGTAATGGGACCAGTTGCAGTGGTCTTTTTTTTTTTTTTGGTTTTAAAGTTTTTCTTTTTTACTGTGGAAAGTATTACTATGTGTGGTGTTTTTATTTTAATTTTTTTTAATTTATTTTATTTTATTTTTTTATTTTTTAATTATTTGGAATGTTGAGTTTTAAGCCAGCTTTTTCACTCTCCTGTTTCACCTTCATTAAGAGACTCTTTAGTTCCTCTTCGCTTTCTGCCATTAGAGTGGTATCTGAGGTTGTTGGTATTTCTCCTGGAAATCTTCATTCCAGTTTGTGATTCATCCACCCTGGCATTTCACATGATGTACTCTGCATGTAAGTTAAATAAACAGGGTGACAATATACAGCCTTGACGTGCTTTTTTCCCAATTTTGAACCAGTCCATTGTTCCATGTCCGTTTCTAACTCTTATTTCTTGATCTTCATGCTTGGTATTTGGGTTCGAGCCTTTAAATGAGTCACGTGGCTGACTTTTGTCAGGTCTTGGCTTCATGTCACCTCTCAGAGGGGCCTTCCCACATGACACAGTCTAAAGCAGTTTGCTGAATCATTGTCATTGCTTCGCTCTGTTTTTATCATGTCACTGCTCTCCTTCTGACATTGAAGTTTTCATTTGGCTGTTGTCCTTCTTTCTCCCTTCTATTGGAAGCTCCTTGAGTTAGACTGCTCTGGCTACTTCTCATGGCAGCCCTGGAATCCAGAATAGTGTCTCATATTACCAGAGGCTCACAAACTGTGTAGAGAGTGAGTGGATGAATTGATGACTATTTCTCCAATTTAAGTAGAATCTAGAGTTGGTTAAACACAGGAGAGAAGGATAACCTTCACTCATGTTCTGCTTTTGACAGTCAGTCTCTGACTCAGCCATATTTTCACCTCTCTCTCACCCCCTCTCTTCCCCCACCCACATATATGCAGACTCATGTATCTGTTTGTATGTGGTATATTTTATATGGCTTTCCATGCTGTATTGAATACCCAGTGTATTAAGACCACAGTCTTTCAACCAGTGTCCTGATCATGTATAAACTTATAAGAGACGAATCATAGTGTATGAAATATCTACAAGTAAGAGGGAAAAGGTTGACGGGTAAGAGGGAAAGAATGCCTGCTTTTTTCAAAAGCAGAGAATGGAGCAGAGGAGAAAAGTCTGCTTGATTACTGATCCATTTCATCTCCTTTTCCTTTCTGAAAGATTTCCAGAAACCATGGGATTTCAAAGTCATGTTCTTCTGTACTTGGAAATTCTGAATGATATAAATAATTCTCAGTAGGAAGTAAAATGACTGATATACATAAATAGGAAAGAAATGTTCTTGGATTGATATTTCCAGAAGTTTTCCAAACCAGCTTCTCATTTTGGCCTAAGAGCATATAATCAGAATTCCCATCGGCTGACTCAGGCCAGTTAGGGCAAAAACAATGGCAGTTTCAACCTCTTCTCACATTGCCGAAACATGTAGATGATCTCTGAGAATTTGGCAATGTTAACAGCAAAGGGAAATGATCCAAACATAATACAGGTTGCAAAGGTATGTGGGAAAGAGTTCTAGAATGGCATATATTTCACCGTGATAAGGTTGGCAGACAAAATGGGAAAATAATGACCAATAGGCATTTTAAAAACTATCAAAATTAGATTCCAGACACTCCACAGGAGCATCCTTATGCCACAATGGAAACGTCACTTCTTCCATTGCAGAGAGAAGTACTGGATGAAAAAGCCAAAATTGTGGATGAAAAATAATGGGTAGAAGGAAAATTATATTCTACTTCTTTAAATTCCTCTTATAGTCAAGGGTTTATTTTATGGCAAAATGCTATTCTTAACAGCCCTTCACTTGGAAACTTTGAAGTTAGAATTGGAAATAAATTCTAGTTTGAAGACAAAAAGTATCAATCTCTTTGCACACCTTCCCTGTAAACACCACTGTAATAGTGAAGTCATATTTCAGAGGAAAATGTAACTCATTCTGCAACTGTCCCTCATAGGGACACTTGGAAGGTGCTGGACTGGTATCATATGGCAGCCCCAGACTGCACCTGAAGAGCAGTTTAGGTGCTCTCACCTTCCTGCTGATGTCATCTTTTTTTTTTTTTTTAGTGAATTTATTTTTCTGTGTGTAGACATTGTTACTATTTCAGTTTATTCGTTTATAGCTTTCAGGCTCACAAAATGTAAAAGGAAAGAAGTTGTTAAACCAAAGCCATTAATTGTATTTCCTAGTTTGGAGAAAACATAGGCCAGAGCAATAGGCAAAGGGAAGCCTTGCTTAAGAAAGGTGGTGTTACAGCTCCTTGCCCTGGTCTGCCCAGGAGGACTCAGAGTACATCATGGACTTGGGGCATCACAAGGAAAGGCATTGGGGGCAGTGGTATTCACGGTGCCCTGTGTGGTGCCCGTTCTGACTCTGCCCCCAGGACACCAGCAGTCGGGTTCTGCTGTATCTTCCCAGCAGCTGGCCTCCGCCTTGACCCCTGACAGTTGCTGCAGTTGGAGCCTGGCTGCAGCTGCACACCCTGTGCTCTCCTCTGCTCGACTCTCAGAGGAGTCCTCGTGACCATGCCTGAGTCCACTCGGCCCCCAGGTCTGGTCAGCCCCCGTCTGCGCAGCATTGTGCCAACTGGATCTTGACTGGGTCCATTGCTTCGCCTGATTCACAAGTGATGCCATCTCTTGCCCACGTGGAGGGCCAGAAGGAGTTTGGTTGGAGCTGGGCTTCAGGAAGCTCCTCCAAAAGGTTGTCTTCTATGAGCTTTGTGAACAGGTGAAGTGCTTATGGTAACTTAAAATGTAAGCGTCCATTTTGAAGTCACACTGGAAGAATTTTGTATTTTCTGCCTCTCTCTGCTCAATTCACTTCCTGCTCTAGAGATGACCAATGTGCTGATGCTGGGGTTGAACCTCATTTTCAGATATGGAGATATTGAAAGAGTTATTATGAAATATTGAAAATATTGAAAATAGTCTTACCTCCCTAATGTTTGGAAATGTATCTCTTCAAAGACTCACCAAGTCACATTCAGCCAAAACAAATTTATGATTTTATTTTCTTAGGAGTGAGAAAGAAAGAATACTGGTAAATTTTCTAGGTGGAAAGAAAAACTTTAAGTCATTTTAATCTTTTTGTTTGTTTTTTTGTGCTCAGTAGGTTTTATAAATTCTTATTATTTTGGAAATAGATACTCTGTTAGCCCCCATGATGGTTAATTATATGTATCAATTTGAACTGGGCAAGGGATATGCAGATAACTGGCAAAACATTCTTTCTAAGTGTGCCTTGAGGAAGATTCTGGAAGATATTAGCATCAGAATCAGTAAAGGAGATCAGCTTATAAATGCTGGACGGCATCAACCAGTCCTTTGAAGGACTGAATAGTAGAACAAGAAGGCTGAGAAATGAGCTGAGCTGAGATGGCCATCTTCTCTTGCTGTCACACCAGGGCTCCTGGTTCTCAGACCTTGAGGCTCAAACTGAATCTCACCTCTGGCTTTCCTGGGTCTCCAGTTTGCAGAGGAAGCCTTTTTGGCCTCCTCAATCATGTAACCATCATGGTGTATTCACTCACCTAGAGCCAGACATCCTAGAATGTGAACTTAAGTAGACCTTAGGAAGCATCACTATGAACAAAGCTAGTGGAGGTGATGAAATTCCAGTTGAGCTATTTCAAATCCTAAAAGATGATGCTGTGAAAGTGCTGCACTCAATATGCCAACAAATTTGGAAAATGCAGCAGTGGCCACAGGCCTGGAAAAGGTCAGTTTTCATTCCAATAAAGAAGGGCAATGCCAAAGAATGTTCAAACTACCTCACAGTTGCATTCATCTCACACACTAGCAAAGCAGTGCTCAAAATTCTCCAAGCCAGTCTTCAATAGTACGTGAACCGAGAACTTGCGCGTGTTCAAGCTAGAGTTAGAAAAGGCAG